TCAAACTCAATCGATCCCTCTTAGACCTGATCGATTCTTTTGCTACCCAATCGATTGGGTTAAGAACAATTTCCTTTATGCTCATTATTTTGACCACTTAAAATCTAGACTTTTCTTTTTCTTTGGCCAACCATAGTCTCTTCTTCTTCTTTCTAAAACATTTTCTCTTAAAACCTTAGGTACATGTTTTCTTTTCTCTCAAAATTGGTCACTTTCAACCAAAATCTTTTGCAAATTGTTTCATATCTATTTGATCTCTTGCAAAATCTTCTTTAAAAATCCTTCAAATCACATAAAAATCTTCACTCATGCTTTTCACTCTAGGAATATGATCATTTTTTGTGCCTCCATTTAAACTGCCTCATTCACTCAATTTTCTTACCTCTCTCAACATATTATACTACTTGTCACCTACATTCACAAATTTTTTTATCAATTTCACCTGAGCTTACCTATTTTCATTATCCCATTGTTTTCATGACATTTAAAACAAGACCCCTTGAACAAGGAGAAATTCACTAAGAGAAGCCTCTAGTTCTTCAATCAAGCCTTCTTTTAACTAAAATTTTGAAAATCTTATAGCAAAAAACATATATATGACTCATTTTGCTCATAATGATAGGTAAGGTAATTAATCTTAATTTCTTTCAATCTATTGGATTTTCATATTTACGTGTTTTTAAGAATTTTGGTTGGATGAACTATTTTAGTTTGGATGGCATTGTCTTTGAGAATCTAGTAAGACTATTTTATAGTAATGCAAACTATATTGAAGTTGATGGACATGGGAATAAGTACTATATTAATAAATTTAGGACATTTATAATGGGTAGAGAAATAATTATGGACAAGAACTTGTTGGATAAAACTTTCATGTTAAAAGATAATGGAGACACAAATACTATATGTGATATGCTTGGATTGGCCAAAGACATTTTTTAGAATGATGATTTAAGGGTTCCTTTAACTCAGACTTTTAGGTTGAACATGCATGATAACTTGCTTCATCTTATCGTTACACATATGTTAGCACCATTTGGAACCCAATACTCTGCTATTAGAAAATAAGATTATTGATGGATGTATAAGATCAAACATAAGGATAAACCCAATTTTGTGTACTTCATTTTTAATGATATGATGAGAGTTGTTCAAAACAGGACTACACTTTAGGATATAGGATAGCCATTAGCAATCTACTTGGGAGGATACATATCAATACTCAAAATGATAAAAAGATTGTGTCCAATCTTGCTAGTATTATTAAAGTTCATACACTTTATAGTATATGAGACACTCAAAATATTACTAGGATATGGATTAAAAAAAGTGAACTTAAAGTTAAACACGAAAAAAAGCATGAGATTCAAGATATTCCATAAGAAGTTCCATAAGATATCCCCAAGAAGGTCTTTCTAGTCCATCAGTTAATACCCAAAGAGCTTTGCAAATTCTTATGATTCAGATGAACAGTTTACACTTATTGGTTGGGAATATAAACTCTAGATTGAAAAACATGGAACTAACTTAAAATAAGATAGTTTCACATGTTTAACAAGTTAGGACTGATATTTGACAAATTCAAACTGCACAAGAGCAAATGGAGTAGCATTTTCATTATTTTTCTCATTATCCTCCTCTACCTTGACTGATCCTTTGAGCTAAGCCTAAATGTTTTTCCTACCTGTTTTTTTATTTTTTATTTTTTTTAAGTTTTTAATTTTTTTCAAGACAGTTTATTTTAGCATCAACTTTAGTACTTTGCATATAATGGTATGAACTTTAATGGCATGAACTTTTCTCTGCTCGTTTGTGTAGTTTTGAGATTCAAAGTTTATTGCACATGATTGTGTTGCTATGAAGGTGCTATTGTGCATATTCTCATTCTTGACATTATGATGCTATGTTGAACTATAGTATTGACATTCAATGATATTGGCCTTGTATTGATTATAGTATTGTTGTTTTAAATTGATTAAGTTGATCTTGCATTGTTTATAGTATTGTTGCCTTGGTCTTGGATTTTTTTTTTTTTTGCTATAACAAAAAGAAGAAGAAGTTAATTTGTGTATTATGAAAATTTGCTAGTGAAAAGCTGTTGCTAAATTAATTTGCTACTGAAAAGTCATTGCTAAATTGTTATGTTGCTTAGGAGATCTCTACCTTATATATTTGTTGTGTTCATAATGAAAAATTGGCCCTTTAATTTTGTTGATCTTGCTTAAATTCAATGGGAGCTTTCTTTATAAAATGAAAATGTCTTTAAAGCAAATTTTTAACTATTAGTTTTATTATATCAAAAAGGGGGAGATTGTTAACCTTGAATTGATAAAAATTTTGAAATGACAAAACAAAAATTTGATAAAATTGAATTAAAATGATTTGAACTTAATTTGAATACTTTTCTAACTTTTTATATAGTAAAAAATATTTTCAAATTCATCTGCATGGTTTAAAAATAAAATTGGCAAAGTAACATAAAAGGGATCGCTTGATTTTTTGGCCAAAAAGGTTTTTTGTACAAATTTCATGAAAACCAATCAATCCTCTCCTTGTATGGATGATTGGTTCAAGGGTTTTAAAGATAGGATCGATCCCCTCATAAAGGGATCGATTGGTTTTTTACACAGAATGAAAGTGTTTTCCAAACTTTGAAAAGGGATCGATCACCTAGACTAGAGGATCGATCACCTAAAAAAAGGATCGATTGGTACTAAATATGGATCAATTGGTTGTGCATTTTCATGCGTAAAATTGTTTGAATTTCAACTGAACCAATCGATCCCCCTAAAAGGGGAACGATCCTCTCGTGTCCACAATGCTTGCAACAACTATTTTTGTCTGAAATTTTGCAAAAGCTCTAAACAATTGATGCAAGCAACTGCTATCTTCCACTCTCAACATATAAATGAAAGTCTCTCACCATATTTAAAGCAACCACGAGCCAAGAAAACTTATTATTTCCATCCACCATTTTCACCAAGCATTCAAGAGCATCTTAGTGTGAGAAAAGGGCAGAAATTCTTGTTAGATCATATTTTCTCTTGATATTCTTCATAATCTTGATTAGTACTTTAAATTAGCAAACGCCCAACCTTAGAAAGGTTCTTTAAGTTTGCAAAACACTTAAAAAAACTTGTATTGTGAGGTATTAAGCTTAAATGAGAGGATAACCTTTAAGAGATTATATTGTTGATTGTGTAAAGATTTGAAGAGCTAGGTTGTAACTTTCAACATATAGTGGATTGAATTCCTTAGCATGTGAGACTAAAGGAGAGGACATAGGTACTTAAAGGAAGGGTTGAACCTTTATAAATTTTGGTGTTTTATTTTTTATCTCTATATTTTGCTTTTAAGATTATTAGTACTCATATTTGTTATGTTTACTTGTTAAAAAAATTGATTTGTGACTTTGTGCTTGTTAGATATTGAATTTACAAAAATTTATTATCAACCAATTCACCCTCTCTTAGTTTAATTCAAGTCTTTAAGCTAACACATATTACTCACAACAATTCCTTTTTAAGCTTAATTAAAAAGTGATATTGAAGGGGAATTATGATTCTTAAGTTTTATTGATTTAGGGAATATAAGATTTTTGTGTTTGGTTTAGAAGAATGTATGATTACCTAATAAAGTCTTTTACTATATTATTTTTTATGATATGTGAATAACATGTGACGTTCATAACATGCTATTTATATTAAAATTAAAGAATTTTGAAAAATATTTTTTAATATTTTCAACAAAGATAATTTTATAATCTTAATTATTATCCTTACATTGATTGTCCTTACACAAAAAAATACGAGAATCAACTATCGCTGTAAGGTTGACATGGGGTAATAAACCCCTTTCTCAGGATTTCAAGGGAGGGAGCCCTCAAAAGAAATTTTATATATAATAATATTGAGTAAATTTTTTTTAGATTTTATATGTAATGATATTAAGTAAAAATATTTTATTTTTTATTTTAATTTTGTTATGAGTAGCAATAAAATTACATTTTTTATCTTAAAAACTTGGTTTTTTTTTTAAATTCTAGAAATTCAAAAGTAAAGTTATAATATCAATTACGTTTTTTTGTCTTAAAAACGCAATCTTTCTTAAAATTCTAAAACTTGAAAATAAAATTTCAACAACCATTACATTTTTAATCTTAAAAATATGGTTTTTATTAAAGTTTCAAATTTTGAAATTATAGTTTTAATATCGATTACATTTTTATCTTAAAAATGCTATCTTTTTTTAATATCCTCTACTTTTTTTCTTAAAAAATTAATTTTTATTAAAATTTTAGAATTTCGAAAATATAATTTTAACATCTATTACGTTTTTATCTCAAATATGCAATTTTTGTTAAAATTTAAAATTTTTGAAAATATAATTTTAATATCTACTATATTTTTTATCTTAAAAATACAATATTTGTTAAAATTTTAGAATTTAAAAAATATAGTTTCAATAATCATTATGGTTTTTTTTATCTTAAACATAATACTTGTTAAAATTAAAATAACAAAAATCACATTTGTTTTGTAATTTTAATATATTGAAAAGGATAATATAGTCTGAAGATGTAATTAAATGAAGATAGGTGAGATAAATTTTTTACTTTTCCTTTAAAATCTAAAACATCTTAAAGAGAAAAAAGTTTTTAATTCCCCAAACTTTCTCATATTAATACTATTGAGAACTTTAAAAAATTTTAAAAATTACAATCCACGATCCTCAAAAAGTGCGGTGAGCCTGCACTTTAAAGTCTAAATTGGCTGATCGATTGGACTAATTGGGAATTAATACATAAGGCAACATTTTTTGGGGCCGAACCAGTGGTCTTTACATTAAGTCCATTGACGAGATAATTTTTCAAAAGCCCATTGCAAAATTTGATTTGTTCTTTTTGAAGCCCAACATTAAAGGCAACGACGTCGTTTCAGTAGCCAAATGGGCACTTACGTTATAACTTATAAATTGGTTTGTCGTAATAATAAATCCAGTTTCCATTTTCCAGGAAATCAGATCTGCGACCCGTGGTAGACGAAAGCTCTCCACGTGGCAAAATCATATTGGAGGAAACAACAACAAGCTTTCGCTCATTGGCCAGTTTTTACAAGAACACGTCGCCAAAGTTCAGTCCCAAGCGTCAAGTCGTTGATGCCTCACACTTCGCTTCGTGTATACTGCATTTGTTTTGTTTGTTAGAAGGTTTAAACTCCAAACTTTCGAGAGCACTCAAACTGGAAAAACGATCCATTGAAGAATCCCCTCCCCCTAATCTCTCTCTCTCAAAAATTAGCAGTGTTTTGTCTGGAATCGAAGATCTGATAAGAGTTTCTAAACATTTGTATAAGTTCTGGAACGATCCAGTTTCTCTCCTGGTCTCAATTCCATGTTGCTTCCAAGAGCGAAGCTACTTTTTCTGTTATGCGCTTTGTCTTCCGCGATCGTCGCCATTGCAGGGTACGCGCCTCTCTCTCTCTTTTTAAATGGCATTTACATATACGTGGAACTTTGTGGTAATTTTAAATTGATGCAGGAAGAGTTATTATGAGGTATTGCAAGTGCCGAAAGGAGCATCAGAGGAGCAGATCAAAAGAGCTTATAGGAAGCTGGCATTGAGGTATCATCCTGATAAGAACCCGGGCAATGAAGAGGCCAATAAGCGATTTGCAGATATTAACAATGGTAAAATTCTTGTTCTTTGTTAATTTTTGTTTTTTATTTAAAAAAGAAAAACCTTTTGAGCGATGGAATTAATTGGTTTTAATGGTGTTTGATCATGGTTAGCTTATGAGGTTTTGTCCGACAGCGAAAAAAGGGGCATATATGATAGATATGGAGAGGAGGGCCTGAAGCAGCATGCTGCCAGCGGAGGCAGAGGAGGAATGGGGGTCAATATTCAGGACATTTTCAGCACGTAAGATTTTTTAAAATTTTGCTCTTTTATTAATATCACTTTGTCTTTAATTTTCTTGATAGTTATATGCTAGCTTTGTATTTGTACCCACAATTTAGAAGCCTATAATTGCATCTTAGGTATATTACCCAAGTTCAGGTTTCCTTTAGTTCGAGTTAGAACCTATACTTTATTGGTGATTATGTTAATTGTTACGATGATCATGTATGAAATTATCAGTGAAATGTTAGTTATTGACTTATTTTTGGGTAATATACATTAACAGTCGTTTTGATCTGTAAGAACTGTCTACCTAATCCAATATTCACTTAGTTTAAATGTGGCTAGGCATCATATTTGAGGAATTGTTCACTTTTATTTATGTTATGGTGAATTCAACCACCTAATAATGCTGATAAGATGGAGCTTTTCTTCAGGTTTTTTGGTGGTGGCCCAGCAGAGGAGGAAGAGAAAATTGTGAAGGGTGATGATGTAATTGTTGAATTGGATGCAACACTGGAAGATTTGTACATGGGAGGTACTATTAAGGTGAGCTTCCAGTGGGATTTGTTATTGTTAACCTAAATCTTTAACTGAACAGGTTCTGGTCATCTTGACTAGTGTGGAATCCTAGAGTTTTGCGCATTATGGCTTGTACCTTATATAATGTAGTAAATAAGTTAGTTAATCTATGTACAGCAATGTGAACATATGCATATTTTATAACCTTCCAAACTTGGGTGGAGGTTTGGAAACCAAATCATGTATATGTATACGCTCTTGCTTTCTCAGGATATTAGTAGTCTAAACATCATACTCATCTAATAATAACTAAAATTTTCGCATATGTACTTCACCTAAGCTAACTTGAGTGTTTTGTGTACCCATTGCAAATGAAAAAGCTAGATTCTCTCCTACGAAGTTTATTGTCTATCAGTTGTAGGCCGTCAACTGATATGGTATGATGCATATCTAGCCATGTTATGCTCAGACCTGGCTTAGCTAGGAGCTAGATCATTAGCCAGTTCCCCTTGTCACCCTTTTTAAAGCAGCACTCAGAAGTGCAAAGGACAGAGCTGTTAGGGTGCCATTGGGAACTAATGATTTGTTAACTGTTTTCTAGTTTACTAGGAAGCTAGTGGACCAATAAATTAGACATAGATTATCACGAAATGAAGATGATGTGAATATGGTGTATTGTTTCCCTTCTTGTTCTTAATTTAAGCCTCTTTGGGGAAAATAAAAGGAGCTAGTGGCTTGGTGCTTGCCTCTCTGTTCCCCTCCCCCCACCCTCTACTTGATCTTTCTCTATTATTTTATAGAAAAGTAACATTGATCTGGAATTCACCAGGTTTGGAGGGAGAAAAACATTTTAAAGCCAGCTCCTGGTAAACGGCACTGTAACTGCAGAAATGAGGTCTATCATAAGCAAATAGGTCCAGGGATGTTCCAACAGATGACTGAACAGGTACTGTGGCTTCGTTGTTTTTCTTTTTCTTTGATATTTAAGTTTCATACTTTATTGTATTTTTATCTTGTTTCCTGGGCCTTTTTATGCTTTCAGAATTGTCATGTCTTATGATGCTATAATCAAGCTTTTATAATTATTCTCCAATTTTCTTTTCATAGGTTTGTGAGCAGTGCCAAAATGTCAAATATGAACGAGATGGATATTTTGTCACAGTTGACATTGAGAAAGGAATGCAAGATGGACAAGTAAGTTTGTAGAATTATAATTTTTTTAATTTGTAATATCCTTTCACAATTGTAGTTTTTCTTGGAGTGCATGTTGTTATTGTTGTCCATTTTTTCTTATTTAATGTTCAAATTCATAGTCATGGTTATAAGTTCAAACCTAAGGAAAATAAAAGAGGATAAACTGTTCTGTGATATGAAAATTGTTTGTTGAAATATTTGGTGCAAAAAGAGTCGTTGATAGTAGCATCAAACTTTTGGGTTTCATTTTTTTTACTTTTAAATCCGAATAATTGTTTAGGACGCTCCTTTCTGCTGCATGTTTACCTGCTGATATGGGTGCTTTCATGATCTCTTAAAAATGATAATGATAAGCGATCAGAATGAATAATTGACATATTTCAGGGTGTGCTGATTTGTTTTGGCATGCTTTATTGTTTAACATTACTTCAAAAAAAGCAGACAGAGAAATGTACTTACTATATCTCTCCCAGGACTCTTTGATGTCATGTGTAAATAGAACATTGTTTTTATGCAGATTTGTTCGCTTGACAATTTTGTCAGAATTTCTTATCCTACAACTTCAATAGGATGTAATTTTCATCATCTTGTAGTTGTATTTTTGCACTATACTATGAGTAGAATAGTTAGCAAGTCATTGTTGTTGTTGGATTTGGAATGATGTTCCCTGTACATTTTATAGGAGGTGGTTTTTTATGAAGATGGTGAGCCTGTAATAGATGGAGAACCTGGAGATTTGAAGGTTAGTCTCTAAAACTGATTGGAAAATTTTCCAATCCTTCTGTATGGCCCCAGTTATTGTGCTACATGCTAGCACAGGAAAGGCCAATAAATTCCTATTCGGTCCACAATCCTTGATACCATTCTTGCTCACATAAGACTACTTCATTTTCTGTAGTTCCGCATTCGCACAGCACCCCATGATTGCTTCAGGAGGGAAGGCAATGACTTGCACACCACTGTTACAATAACACTTGTAAGTCTCATTTTTTAGGATATCTGTATATTTATCTGTCTCGACCTTTCTTCTTTACCTTCTTTCGAAATGGAAACTATGAACTAAAATCTTCATTCCATGACTTGCTCCAGGTTCAAGCTCTTGTTGGTTTTGAGAAGACCATCAAACATCTTGACGATCATTTAATGAACATTGGCTCTAAGGTAAGCATGAAATATCCTATAAAGCTTCCTTTAAATCGTCTCAATCAACAGCTCCAAAATTAGAAATAAACATCAATACATTTAGGGAAATAAATTTGTATTGCATACTCAGGGTATTACTAAGCCAAAAGAGGTGAGAAAGTTCAAAGGAGAAGGAATGCCATTACATTTCAGCAACAAGAAAGGAGACCTCTACGTCACGTATGAAGTTTTATTCCCCACATCGCTGACGGAGGACCAGAAGGCCAAAATCAAGGCAGTTCTTGGCTAGGAATAGAGAGAGGATACAATTTTTTGTTGGATCCTAAAATGTTCCCATTGTAACGTGACGATGATACATAGAAACTAGGAAATCTGGAGCGTCTCAAAATTTTCTTCACTCCCTTTTCACCTATTTCCTCCTACTCATTAACAAATTATCATGCAGTGTCTGAAAAATGTCTTTGCTCTCTAACACGTTCAAGCGTCCAGCAATTTGGAGGGGCTTGCTTAGCATAATATATTTTTTGGGCTCATACGAGATATGTTACCTGTCTCGCTTCTTGTTTTGTGTTTCCGAGAATGATTATCAATGAGGAGTTAGTTGCCACTGTAATTACTTTTCTTGCCTGTCTTCTATCAAAGTCTGCGCCTAAAACAATTCCAACTACTGATGTAAGTGAATATTCTTCCTATAATCTCAATTGATAGTCATTTTATGAGATGGGAGAGGATCAATTTTTGTTGTGTGATTTATTAATAAAACAAAATTGGGAGGATTCGTTGTAAGTGGCCTGGTATGATGGCACTCTCTTTCTGTCTTTGTTTTGTCGGCTGCACTAATTGGTGGTTTTCGCTGGGTCTTTTTTTTCGGTCCATCGTCTTTTCAATACTTCCTTTGCTGGTTGGCTGATTTTTTCATTAAAAATGTTAAAAGTATTTTGTAAAACCTTAACGTGAATATCATTAGTCAAATAATAATTGATCAATTTTAGATACATATTTTTAATATTTAATGTTTCAAGTAAAAATATATATTTTTAATTTACATTGAAAAAAATGTTGATAGTGAGTGCGGTAAACATATAATTTAATAATATTTATTAAAATATCATATATATATATATATATATATATACACATACATACTTTGAGAGTAGATGTGAGGAACATGTAATTTTACAATATTTGTCATACATCACATATATGTATATATATAAGCTATATAGTAAGTAAGATTATAGTTTAAATTAATATTATACATAATTTAACAGTTTATGGTGTAAATTGTACTTTTTATTTGTTTTAGGTACTAATCTAAATATTTTCTCAAAATTTAGGTTAAAAAAATGTAGTTAACTTAAAAATTAAATAAGTTCATCAAAGCTTGTTTCTATGAAGAAGTTGACAATTTTTCTTCAAACAAGTGGCCGTGCAGCTTAGTAGGTAGATACCACCTAGATAGCACCTCAAGGCAGGTAACCAAGCCGAAAGACCGATGCAACTGACCAATGCAAAACGAAATACAATGAAGACCGCTCTACCTGTTTCAGCTACTATACAAACAAGATTTAATACAATGTACTTAATACTTTAAATAACTTTCAAACATTTGACTTTGTAGATTTATTTTTACGTGAACTAACAATACTAAATCGTTTTTCGTCACATATGGTTCAATTTTGCATAATTCTTGCAGGAACAATTTCAACAGTTTATACAAGAGAAAACACAAAGTACAGGTGATACTTCAATCTATAGCCAGAAGGCAAACTCAGACTTCCAACTTAAAAGTGAACTGCAAACTACAGGTCGAGCTTACCGGCTAAGTACCACGAGTGCATGGCAAGGCTAACAAAGGACATAATATTAGCAAGGGAAGATAACCATGAATCATTCCTAATTTCTTGTTCATGGCTGCAAGCTTTGGATTAGTTTTTACAGCTTCCTGATTCTTTGAGCATCAAATTTCATCACAAATGTTCTTTTCTCTCTCCACCTTATGCCTTTGCTTTATCATCTGCATTATCATATTCTTAGCACAACATAATTGCATATGTGAATCTAATTCAGCAACTCAACAAACAAAACAAATAAACTCAAAACTCTACTCAGATATGCAGCACGTAATCGACGGTTGCCAAGAAAATGTGGAAGAAGACAGAAAATACTTAAAGCCGTCAATTCCTACGCATTTAACACAAGTATCCACTCAACTGTATCTCATACAAACATTCTCAAAAGTTGTAACATACTCTAAATTCAAACTTGTTGTTAGGGCCAGTTAATTGGATTTAACTTTATGATGGGCTTGTTGTTTTTAATTCTTATAATGGGCTCATTTTATTTACCGTTTGTATAGCTAAGAGGCCTTTCCTTATGCTTGGCTGCATTTTTTGTTAAGGAGAGAAAGCCAGTGAGTTAGGTAGTCTGAGAAAATTGAGGAATTGCAGCTGACATGATTGTTAGACCAGCTTAAAAGAGGAGCAAGGAATTGTATACAGAATTCGGTTATGAAATTGAAAGTAATTTCTTCTCTAAGTTTCTTCTTCCTTCTTTCTCCTTCTTTTCTATGCCTTTTTTCATCCTCTGTTTCTTGCTTTTGTTCTACCAATTTCTGTTAAACAATTTTAGAGATGCATCAGTGATATTAGAGCTTTGATCTTGGCCATGGATGAAGGGGTGAAGACCAGATTCCATATTGACGGTACGTTGCTGCAAGAACTAATGGAATGCTTTGAATTCTGGTTGGAACGGTTGCCTGAAGATATTCGATCTGACTTGAAAAGTATTAGTTCTCAACTTAACCAAATATCTGTTAGACTGGATGATATTAGTGAAATGGTTAGTAACTATGAGGTGATTATGGTGGAGAACCAACAAGCTGAACAGAACACTTAATGTAACTTCCATCAATCTTTCTCCTCTATTTTATTCATTAATTCTTCCCAAACTTTCCTCTAAAAACCTTTTTTTTTTCTTATGTTTAATGAGCCTAAGGTTGAAGAATTAAATAGTGAAATGGTTAAGGGACTTGTCAGATACTCAACTGTTAGTTTTCTATTGCTGGGAGTGGGTTTAAGTTTTTAAGGATTATTGATGCTTGTGAAAATTTTAAATGGGATCATTCAATGATATTTGCGATTGGGAATAGGGCTTCTGTTCTTTGTGAACCATATAGGTTTAGACTTTTGGTAGGTGCTGTGGAGTTTACCGTTGTGAGTTGTGTTGTTGTTACTATCCTTGTTTTTACTTTAGTGATTTCTAAAGGACAACAACAAAGGATGCTAGTCGAATTGTTAGGTTAGAAGTTCTCCGGATTATTAATGAACCTACTGCGGCCTTTTTAGCATATAATAGGCTTGAAAAGATTTATACAATAATGTTTGTGGTTGGAAATAATAAACTGGTTGCTATCTTTGATCTTTACATGTTTAGGCTTCTAGTAATAGGATAAAAAAAATAATGGTGTTGTGGTGTCTGCCTTTAAGATTTGTACTCTTGACTCTTGAGTTGATGAAGGCAACATATGAGGGAGAGGTGCATTCTAACGAAGTTTTAGTGGTGGATAGAAACAAACCTGAAGATTTGGGTAGACAACATGTAAAAGAAGGCAAAATGTCAAAAAGTACCTTTCATAGCTTAGATGTTTGGTGAACACTTTAAAAGAAACTCAACCCAACAAATTTGAAGGTGCTCCATATAGACTTTCCTGTTTAACACATATTTAACGCTTAATAGCATGTATAGTTTCTAAATTTTGACTAAAATCCTATTTTGATCTCTAAATTTTAAAAAATTTTAATCAGATTTTTAATTACCCAAAATTATCTTAATTTAACCATTCCATTTATGAAATCATTTAAATTAAAAGTAAACGCTAATTGACACCACATGATGATATCAATTAATATCTTACGTAATAGGTGAGAGATCAAAATATAATTCTCTAAAAGTTTAGGGACCAAAGGCGAAATTATTTCAAAATTTTATATATTTAATATATATTTTATAAAATATTAAATTTAAAATTATATTTTTATATTTTGTTGTTGTAATATAATTTATTAGTTATATTTTTTGTTTTTAATAGAAAATAGTTTTTTAAAAATTAAAATTAAGTTAAAAATTCAAATTCTTTTTTTAAAAGTTCAATATTATTTTAAAAAATTATTTTCTATTATTTTCTATTAAAAATATTATTTTACTCATAAATCATAATCAAAATATTATTTCTATCCATAGAATATATGTTTTAAAATATCAAATATCTTTTATTTTCCCTTCTCAAATTTATTTTATAAAAAAAGGAAAAGATAAAAATAATTCAAGAAAAATTGATTTTTATATATTTAAAATATATTTTATAAAATATCATAATTTTTTTTAATTTTTATTATGATATGATTTATCAATAAATTAATATTTTTAATAAAAAATAGATTTTTAAAAAATTAAAATTCAGTTGAAAATTTAAAAATAATTTTGCTAAAATTACATATCATTTTAAAAAATCAAGTAAAAGTTTTATATCAACTTAAGAAATTAAACAAAAACTCTATATCATGTTAAAATATTATGTAAAAATTTTTAGATCATTTTCAAAAATACATTTATTAATTTATTCAAAAATATAAAAACTTTATATTCGTATAAAATAAAAAATATAATTTAATGCATTTTTATTTTTTCTTTTTTATAAAACGTATTTTATAAAATATATTTAAAAAGAAAAAATAAAAGATAAATAATATTTTTAAAAATAAATTTTTTGGATAGAAAATAATATGTTTTATTATGACATATGAGTAAAATAATATTTTTATTTTTAAAATGTATTAGATTTTTAAAAAGGAATTTGAAAATTTTAACTTAATTTTAAGTTTTGAATATATATTTCTATTTAAACAAAAATCTATCCAATAAATTATATTATAACAAAAAAATGCAAATAAATTTTAAGTTTAATTTTTTATAAAACATGTATGAAATATATAAAATTTTAAGATAGTTTCATCTTTAATAATAAATTTTGAGAGAATTTTATTTTGATCTCTCATCTACCACATGAGATACTATTTGACGTCATCATGAGGTATCAACTAACATTTGCCTTAAATTTAGTCGGTTCTATAGACAAAAGGACTGAAATAAGATAACTTTGGGTAATTAAAAATTTAATTAAAACTTTTGAATTTAGGGATTAAATAAAATTTGAGTAAAATTTTAGGGATTACGAATGTTATTAACTTTATATTTAAAGAATTCCTTGGTAGCAATAGCAAACTCACAGTTATTTCCAACATCTCTGCAGACAACAAAAATAGAAAGGAAATACTAAGTATCTCATATTTGAGCATAGGATTAAATCTATAAAAAAAGGAGCCAGTAATAAATGAAATATCCTAAGATGATATCAATGGCTTGAGTAATCAGATTCGTCAACTGAAGGAAGAGCTTATAAGAACAAAGTTTGATGTATGCAACTCAGTTGGGAGTAAAAGTGGATATTTTAAAAGGTAGAGTGCATGTGATAGCTTGAAGACATGGATTGTCGTTGTTGATTACCAACAGACAGAGGGCGAGACCATAGCCATAGCAGGAGATTTGGCAGAAGTCATTAAAAGAGAAAAAGCGCTCGAATAAGTTTGCATGAAGCAAGGAACCAAAATTGAGCAGTTAAACTTTTTGGTAGAGCATTACTGGCATAAGAGGGAAAATTTTGCAATTAAAGATGCTCATGTGTCTTTAGGGAATGAAATAATACCATTTAGGCAGTTCAACAATGGTGAAAATGGAAAAGAATATTTTGGTAGGCAT